CTCGATCCCAGGACCCTGGGATCATGACCTGAGCCGAAGGCAGACGCTTAACCATCTGAGCCACCCAGGCGCCCCTAAATAGTAGTTTTTAAAATTAACATTCATTTTCTCTTCTCTTACGGTACTAAGAAGAGAACACTAGTTTCTGGGCAAATACACAACTGACTATTGTATTAATTATGGTTTCTAAAGATTAAAAGTAGTAAAACTAAGGGAATTACTGGAATAAGAAAGAGGTAAAATATATGGTAAATAAGAATTAAGGGGCAAATATGGAAAGTAAAAATATAGTAGTCAAGGTCAGAGGAAAATTGTTGAATAAATGAGTTCCCTAAACTTCCTTATGATATTCATAGTGATGGGAATAGGAAAATGACAGGATGTTGTAAGTATGTAGCTAGCTGGTCAACTATAAACTTAGTATTTGCTCTTACAATCATAGTAATGCTTCTATGACATGCCTGGGTGGCTCAGTCAGTTAAGCGTCTGCCTTTGGCTCTTGTCATGATCCCAGGGTCCTGGGATCAAGTCCCATGTAGTTGGGCTTCCTGCTCAGCGGGGAGCCTGCTTCTCTCTCTCCCTCTACCTCTGTGTGTGCTCTCTCTAGCTCTCACTCTCTCTCAAATAAATAAAATCTTTAAAAAAAAAAAAATCAGTAATGCTTCTAGAATTTTGCCATTATTCTATAGTAAACTCATAGTTGCTGCAGTATAAAAGCTCACATCTTTGGGCACCTGGGTGGCTCAGTCGGTTAGGCGGCCGACTTGATTTCGGCTCAGGGTCACGAGATTGAGCCCCACTTTGGGCTCCGTGCTGAGTGTGGAGCCTGCTTAAGATTCTCACCCTCTTGGGGCGCCTGGGAGGCTCAGTCGGTTAAGCGTCTGCCTTCGGCTCAGGTTATGATCCTGGGGTCCTGGGATCGAGCCCCGCATCGGGCTCCTTGCTCTGCGGGAAGCCTGCTTCTCCCTCTCCCTCTGCTGTTCCCCCTGCTTGTGTTCCCTCTCTCTCTCTCTGTCAAATAAATAAATAAAATCTTTAAAAAAAAAAAAAAAAGATTCTCACCCTCTTCCTCTGCCCTTCCCCTCACCCATGTGCTCATGCGCTTGCTCTCTCTCAAATAAATATTTAAAAAAAATAAAAGGACACATCTTGGTCACCTCAAATAAATAGTTCATACATATATAGGACTGTTTTTGGAAACTGCTTTTAATCCTGATGTTTCTCTGGCTGTTTGCCTTGGGGGAAAAAGAAAGTTCAGTCATGATTTAATTCCTGCCTTGTGTAGCTATAGCCTGTGTTTCTCTGGACACATTACTTTTCTACACCTCAGTTTATGTTAAAGCATTGGGACCATACCTCAGAATCTTGTGAAGAGTAAATGAAATAACATATGCAAAGTGCCTATAGCACTGCTGACTTTAGAGTAAGTGGCTAGATAGGAATTGTTTTCCTTCTTCCTGATAGCAAGTCTCTCTAGAACTACCTTGTTATAGTTTAGTTCGTATTCAAATTATCTTGGGGAGCATATTCAAGTATTGGTACTTTGCTAATAACTAGATGATTTGCCAAATCAAATTATACTCCACCCCACCTAAAGGATATGTACCTCCATCCATCCATCCCCTTTATAATAATCATTATCAAAGTAAGAAAGATACTCTTAGTAATTTAAGCGATTTATCCCTCACATTTTTTTTTTTTTAAGATTTTATTTATTTATTGGACAGAGAGAGACACAGAGAGGGAACACAAGCAGGGGGAGGAGAAGCAGGCTTCCTGAGGAGCAGGGAGCCCGATGTGGGGCTCAATCCCAGGACCCTGCGATCATGACCTGAGCTGAAGGCAGACGCTTAACGACTGAGCCACCCAGGTGCCCCCCACTTTTTTTTTAAGATTTTATTTATTTGAGAGAGAGAGAGCACAAGCAGGGGGAGTGGCAGGCAGAGGGAGAGAGAGATCAGCAGGCTCCCCACAGCAGGGAGCCCAATGTGGGACTCAATCCCCAGACCCTGGGATCATGACCTGAGCCAAAGGCAGACGCTTAACTGCCTGAGCCACCCAGGCGTCCCCCTCACATATTCTAAGGCAGAAAGAAGGTGGAGACCACTGCTTTAAATAATAGAGACTTTGAGGGAAGGATTTAAATAGTCATTTGTGCATTTTGTAGGAGGTCCAGCAATCTAAATTTTAACCAATTCTTTAGGTGATTGTAGGTAACTAGCCCAGCACCAGTCTGCTTAAAATATATGTTCTGTGGCATGTGTGCAAAGAATTGCTTGATCCTCTTATGATTTGAGTAGTCTTTAATATTTTGGGAATATAGGAGGAGCCTGCAACAAACATCTGGATAATAGATGGTTCGTGTATTTTGATCTTTAGGTTGATTGTACTGCCAACACAAACACTTGTAATAAGTATGGAGTCAGTGGATATCCAACCCTGAAAATATTTAGAGATGGTGAAGAAGCTGGTGCTTACGATGGGCCTAGGACTGCCGGTAAGGATCCTGGATTACAATTTGGAAACTTATTTGTTAAGTACCCTGTTTTTGTAGTGGGAACATGACATTTTTCTAAACAACATACTTGTAATCTTAAAAATTCCTCATCTAAGGGGCGCCTGGGTGGCTCAGTCCGTTGGGCGTCTGCCTTTGGCTCAGGTCGTGATTCCAGGGTCCTGGGATCAAGCCCTGCATCAGGCTCTCTGCTCAGCGGAGAGTCTGCTTCTCCCTCTCCCTCTGCCTGCTGCTCCCCCTGCTTGTGCTCTCTTCATCTCTCTCTGTCAAATAAATAAACAAAATCTTAAGAAAAAAATTCTTCATCTAAGAAGTCTATTTAGTATCTAACAAAAGACTTCTCTAAATAAACAGATTATGTAAGTAATGTAGAAAATACATGAACTTGAGTTGTAAGGTCTACTAGGCATTTTTTTCAGTTGACATATTTATTGAGTACTTAGACTCTGTGCCAGATATTTTAGATATACTAGGTGCTCTGTATTTATTGATAAAACAGACAAGTTTCCTACTCTTATGTGCTTACATTCTGGGAGATGAAGAGAAGAAGACAACAACCAAGTTTAAAAGTATATGTAGATAACTACTTTACATCCCAAAACAACACACACAACAGAAAATAACAAGGGTCGACAAGAAAAATTGGAACCATTTTGCACTGGTGGTATAAATGTAAAATGGTATAGCTGCTATGGAAAACGGTATGGAAGTTCCTGAAAATTAAAAAAAAATAGAATTACCAAACGATCTAGCAATTCTCCTTCTGGACATATACCCCAAAGAATTACGACCAGGGTCTTGAAGATATATTTGTATGTAGTTTCCTAGTGTAGTAAAATTCATGGAGACAAAGTACAATGGTGATTCCTAGGGACTACAGGGTGGAGAAAATGGGGAGTTTTTTTTAATGAGTAGAGTTTCAGTTTTGCAAGATGAAAACAGTCCTGGAGAGTGGCTATGCAATAGTGTGAATGTACTTAATGCCACAGAACTGTATGCTTAAAAATAGTTATGATGATAAATTTTATGTATATCTTATCACAGTTAAAATTATTTAATTTCATATATAAGATAAATTCAGTTAGTGGTAAGAGCATTAAAGGAGAAAAATAAAACCATTTATGTGCTAGTGACTGGGTTTGAGAGTACCACATCATCGGAGTTAGCAGGGCTGTAACCTTTGAGCTGAGATGTGAATGATAGGCATGAGCTAGCCTTGAGAAGATCTGGGCCAGAGCCTTCCAAGCAGAGGGGAAAGACTCTGAGGTATACAAAGAGGCCTTAAGGTATAACTGAGCTTGATGAGTTCGAGGGTTAGAAAGACCATGTGGCTGGAGTATAATTAGCATGGATGGTAGATGAAGCTTTTTTTTTTTTTAAAGATTTTATTTATTTATTTGACAGAGACACAGCGAGAGAGGGAACACAAGCAGGGGGAGCGGGAGAGGGAGAAGCAG